CATGGTTGCACGCGGCGAATCGCGCGGCGGGCTGCGCGGCGATCCGGACGAGGCAAGTCTTCGCGGGCTCCTGCAGTGGAGAACGTGTGCAGATCGCGGATAGAATCCACAAGGTTCTGCTTTGAAAGAAACTTCCCACTCGCGGAGATCGGTGAAATGTCAGTGAGAAGATTACAGCGAAAGGAGATGAAAGAGAGAAACTTCATAGAAATGTCACTATTATCATATTATAAATATGAATAAGAAGCACTAAAAATGGAGTCATTTAGTGAGATGTTATTTATTGTCAACTCTATATCTTTGCTAATCGCGGCGCTCCTGTCCTTGGGGAGAACTTTCAAAACAGGGCCAATGGAAGGTGACACTAGAACTAAGCTCATGAGAAGGGAAATACGCTCGGGAGAACAGAAATTGCTCACATCCTTCCCCTCAGGCTTAGTCCCAAACACAATAATTGGTTGAATCTCTCCGCTCATGGGATTCCCCCCCCCCTTAACAACAAGCGCCAGCAACCTAAGCGCCCTGATTGCTATAACAGCCTTTTGCTATTCCTTTTCTTCTCTTCCTGCCGCTGCCTTTGAATATCCACGCGTTGGAATGTAATTCGAATCGCAGAACCTTGTGGATTCTATCCGCGATCTGCACACGTTCTGACGTGTTGGATTCCACCGCAGAAGCCCGCGAAGACTTGCCTCGTCCGGATCGCCGCGCAGCCCGCCGCGCGATTCGCCGCGTGCAACCCCGGACGCACCAAAAGTCCCGCACCCCTTGGACAGAGCTCTGCTAGCTTGAGCATACAAAAAGGAAAGGATATGGGAAAGAAATCAATTCTTTGACATTAGATAGCTCTTTTTGCTAACGTGTGGATAAATAGGCCGTGCTCCTGTGTTTGGTAGCCACCCCATTCTGTGCCATTCATGCGTAAAGCCATGCGTCAGGATAAAATTGGTGTGGTTTCTGCGCACGAATATGCAAGTATTGCTGCATAGTGGATCGGCAGGTAAGAAAAAAATCTGTCGAAAACAGGTCAGGTTAAAGGTTTGCCCACTTACGTAATGCGGCTGTGCTAAAATAGTGAGAGACTGAGCGCGGAGAGGAGAGTATGAGGAGAGCGCAACAAATGAGAGGGCGCCAGACAACAGCCTGCTGCGGATGGGAGCACTGCAGCTGCTGCAGCAACTTTGCAAGGTGTTAGCGCCCTTTTCGGGTGATTTTCATGCACGAGAATGCCACATCTGTGATTGTCCTCTAGAGGAGTATCCTAGAGACCGAAGAGAATTGTTCACACGACTTTTGCCTGGGTTGTGCCCACATGGGAGGATGACCGCTATAAATAACATGAACTAAGCTCTACGGGCAATTTCTGATATCGGCGAAATTAATTGCTAGAGTTCAGTTTTTCTACAATTCCAAACGGAAGGCGCTGAGGGTCAAACATCTAGTCAAGTAGTTATGAGCGTTACGGTCATAGGCTCACGCCTAAAACGATGTACAGTCTCAATGATCTCGTAGTCGTGTGCTGTCCCGGAGACTTTTGGAAGTCCCAATGATATTTGAAGGAGCCCTTCTCGGAAAAATTGTGATTCTATCTCACCCATAATTCACTGGCTTAGAACCTAACTCACGATAAGAACGAAAAGAACAAAAAATTGCATTTGTTTTGGAAAAATCGAAAGGGCTGCTACGCGTTCAAAGTACCGCCGGACATCTGTCACAAATGCTGGCGACGGGATGCTTCCACTTGGTTCTTGGAGTGCCTTCACTAGAAACTCTTTCTGGCCTTTTGACTTATTGCATTCACATCTCACACTTCTACTCCATCCTATTCTATCGATCGATTTGTCTCTACTCTCCAAAATCGCGCGCTTTAACCCGATTCTTTCATTGCGTCGCCTGATACGTAGCCGCCCCAAGGCCAACTTCTTTCCATGCCCCGCCTTTGGCTCCGCCCGAATTACCTTCGATTGTCCATAGAGTGTAGTTTTTGTAAGTTTGTTTGAATGAAAAATGAATGAATTTGTTTGAAAATTTGCCTTCAGAAACTAAGTCTTTGTACGTGAAACGTTGCATGTTGTCCATAGTGGTCACATCTGACAAATACGTGTTGTGAAAGAATGCACGATTTTTCCGGGGTTGAGTCCTTTGAACACCACCACCTTTCTGCATGGTACGTAAATCAATACGCTTTGTACACAAACAAAATAAGTTAGTTTAGTACACATTTTCAAAATGTTGCGTCAAATGTCCACCGAAATCCTTTGCATTTTGAATTGATGTTCAAAGCAGCAAATTTTTTTTCATTTAAAAATAGGAACTTGCGCATTCTCGAAAATATTTTATCTAGATCGGAAGCTTTTTTGCTTTCAAATGGGCGCAGATAGGATAGTACTGCAGCTTGCGGATACATTCCACGATAACAGGGGGGTGCTACTAAGGGTTCAAATGTGAAACTGAAAGTGATGTGTGATCTACAAATGAAGAGAAGCGAAAGATCCCTGGGAACCGCCCTCACCACGGAAAACAGGATACCAACATGAAAGGGTTCCCTTAATTATGGTTGCTGCATATGCAGCGCTCTGCAAAAACACTTTCTAAAAATACGCGATGTTTTGTCACGAGTTTACGGCAGCTACATCGCAGCAAATTCACGCTTCACTTCGCAATTGGACATCGCACATCAATTCTATTGTTGTTTACAGTACTGCGTAGAAAAGTGAATAACAGCGAAAGCCAAACGAAAACCTCCATAGACAGCGGAATAGCAATGGAAGATGTGAGCTTTTGAGGTTTCTTAATACTTGGACATCTATGTT